GCTCATTTGGCGGCGGTGCCAGACACCATCAACGGAGTCGGTACAGCAACGCTGTTCGCAGATTGTGTTTTCCGACAACTCGGACTCCCAGAGTCGATTTTCTCTGATAGAGACCCCCATTTCACGGGAAACGTTTGGTCGACTATCTTCAAGGTGCTAGGCACCAAGTTGGATACGTCGACAGCAGATTATTCGCAGACCGATAATCAAACCGAAAGGGTGAATCGCGTCATCGAAGACGTTCTTCGCTGCGTCTGCGCTGAGACGCCGCGGCGCTGGAGCGCGATGTTCCTTTTTGTAGAGTTTGCAACGAACAATACAGTGCATTCATCTACCGGCTACACGCCGTTCTACGTCAACAGTCTGATTCACCCTCGCGTCCCACTGATGCCGCCATCCCATGGATCAGGGCTTGGTGGGGGAGAAATAGCCGAACGGCTAGCTTGTGTTAGCCCCCTCACCATCCGCAAAGAAATGGATGACTTCTTGTCAACCAGACTGAGTGTCCTACGACACGTTCGCGATGCGATGGCTGAAAGCCAAGACCTCCAGAAAGAATATGCAGATGAAAAAGGAAAAGGCAAATTAGAAAGCTTTGAGGTCGGGGACCTGGTTTTATTGTATGTAAAAAAACTGCCTATACATGAACCTCTGCTTTCTTCGGGACGAAGCTTCGTCCACGGTTTACCAGACCGTTTAAGGTTGTGGCCAAGCGGGGCCTAGCGTATACGCTGAACCTTCCAGAACGGATGCGCACCCACCCGGTGTTCTTCATGGGCCTGCTCAAGCCGTACCGGGATCCCACGCAAGTGAACGCGGAAGCGTTGGCGCCGGAGCGGATATCACGGGCCCTCGGCCACCCAGAAGCCGAACGAGCAACTGGTTCTGAGAACGGAGTGCAACAACCTCCATTTCTAATGGCGCCAAGGGCTCCACCGTCGCATGCAGTGACGCATTCGTCTGCTTAATGGCTAGAGTCGCTCCGACGGAGCACGGTAGTCCTCAAGGCGAGTCAGCCGGCGCACGACGTGCTTTAAATCGTCAAGAGCGTCCGCACAGCGATATGATCCTTCAGCATGTCGCTCAGCGGAGCTCCGATCACGAAAGACCTCGTCCTCAAGAGCTCGAAGAGAATTCACGACTCACAGAACGGCGGTCGCACCGGTCGTCAACGCCCGTCACCGACTCTTCTCGATGAGAACGGTGACGTCCGCTATCACGTGGACCGTCTAGTTAGACGACGTCGTCACCAGGGCCAAACCCAATATCTGGTGAAGTGGCGGGGATATCCCGACTCCGAAAAGTCGTGGAAGTTTGAGGTGCCGCTTCGGCAAGATTGCCCATTCGCCGTGGATGCTTTTGATCGGAAAGATCAGGACGTCCCGCGTCATCAGACGCCCCGCACTTCCCGGCAATAGCCAGGTGAGTAGAAGGCCAATGAGCAGAGCTCAAGCAGTGGTCCTGACCTCTTGCGGTCGCAGACACAGAGCTCGCGGGAGCATTAGGGGTTAGCCCATGCGTCGCAATGAGACAATCCGAAGGCAATCGACGGCGTGCCTTGAGTTTGATAATCTCAAATCGGAGGTGTCGCTCCATACGCACGTCCACTTCCTTGTGGCTTAACTGTAAATTAAGAAGTGAGAAACGTTTCCGGTGCCTTTGCACCCATCGCTCAAAGAGCGCTTCATCATCTGTAGCGCTTTG